GTAGGGGTGAAGCTGGAGCGAGCACAGGTTACCTATCTACAGCGTAGGGGTGGAGCTGGAGCGACCACAGGTTACCTACCTACAGTGTAGGGGTGAAGCTGGAGTGAACACAGGTTACCTATCGACGTTGTAGGGGTGAAGCTGGAGCGAGCACTAGTTCCGTGTCTGGCACTTCACACTCAGTAAGTTGATGCAGTTACTGGTTTTCTCAGCTGATAGGGCTGAGATCATGGATCGTTGAGTCCGCGAGAAGTTCTTACTCTCCTGGTTTGGAATAAGGATGTGCTTAGTGCAGAGAAATCCAGTAAATGATCCATAGGATAACCTTATGGGATTTGGGGGGGGTGGATGTCATTATTAACTATATAGAAGTAGGTGATGTTCTGCAAAAGTATTTGATTTAAGGGACTGGTGGTGAAAATGGTTGTCTAGGCCTCGGGTATGATCCATAGCACTGCAGAAACCTGGCTGAGAGTACACTTGGGTCATGGAGTTGGAAAGGGTAGCCTGAAGTCCTACTGAGGAGCAGCTCATTGGGCTTCAGTTATGTAAACAGCAGTGGCAAGATGATGAGTAGAAATAATTGAATTTGGAAGCTTGACCTCCAGCCCAGGCTAACACTGCAGCCAGGAATGAAAGCAGTCTCCAGCACACAGTTGAGATGAACTTTAGGGCTAGTTGGCAAAACTTTCAAAACAACAGGTTTCAACACTGGTACACTGTTGTAAAAGATTGATTTTCCTCTCCACGCCCGTAGCCTTGGGGTGCTGACTCATCCCTGTGTACTGGGATACGTGCCGCTACAGCTGGTGTCTTCAAGGGACACCATGTGGGTGTCCCCTTCAGGTCGTTTTATTAAAGCTCCGAAATGACCACTAGCTAATTTGCATGAACTCATCGCTGTTTCTTCCTTCAGTTTATTATTTTTTCTGAGTGCTTAAAACAGTGTTTGCCTAGGTTGACCTTCATTCCAGGCTTTTGTGCCTGTGTGTTTCAGCAGTGGGAAATTCTTGCAGAAGGGGGCATGAGTCAGCCAAGGCAAACAAGAAGGCATTTGATCTAGAGTGGAGGAACAAGGAACCTTTCCTAAGAAGGAACCTTTCCTAAGCTGAAGCTGGTAAATGGTCGTGGTAGAGGTGAGCATCTTAGATCAGAGAGGGGGGAGTTGTAACACAGAAAATAGGGGATGTTATCCAGATGGTGGTATCCAGGTGATCCAGGAAAGGTGGACAGCTATGGAAAAACCAAGAAATGTAAGTGGTGTTTTGTTGCTCTCCAAAAAGCAAGCAAAATTCAGTTTTGACAAGTACCCGGAATCTTACAAAGAACTTGAAGATTTAAATTGAGCCGGTGCTAAAAATGTGCCATTAAAAATGTTGACTTCGGGGTTCTGTGGTTACTAGCATTTGCTGTTCTTGAAGAGGACCCAAGATTGGTTCCCAGCACCATAAGAGGTCTCACAACGCCTGTAACTCCAGTTCCAGATCTGGTCTTTTGACCTCGTTGGGCTCTGGCATGCATGTGGTGCACATAAACACATCAAGGCAAAGACACATACACATAAGGAAACAAACCTTAAAAAAAAACATTTATTTTGCATTGCATAAGTAAGAAGCCAAACAACTTTCAGTGCTTAGGTTTCCTTAAAGGTTCCAGCTTTCAGTGTAATTCTTGTCAAGCCCAGTTCTGCATTTTCACAATAACTCACTGGGTCCCAAAGTGTTGAAATTTACCTTAGGACTCTAGTGGTTATGATAAATCTCTTCCTAAATTCAGAACTGCTTACATGTCCCGCCTTAATAGGTGGGTTTCTTTTGTTTGGTTGGTTGGTTGGTTGGTTTTGGTTGTTGTTTTGCTTCGTTTTGTGTTTTTAAGGCAAGATTTCACTCTATAGCCCAGGCTACACTGGAATTTTCTATATAACAGAAGTTGACTTCCAAACTCAATTCTGCCTCACCCTCTTATGCTGGAATTACAGGAGTCACTTATAGAAAAATGTAAGGAGAACAGGTTGAGCTTTGCGGGGAAATAATTCGAGAATTCGAACCCTGTCTTAAGTTAGTTATATAGACGCGGGACACGGTTGCTATGGTTACTGCTGCCTCCAGAGCCAATGGTGTAGTGCATAGATCCTGGAGGCCAATGGTGCGCACTGTAATAACAGTCACCACAGGGTGCGCGGTCTCCATGACTCCGGCCGGCTGTGCGCTTGCGCGTCCCCTGCTGAGCGCCGTTGCCATGACAACACTGGGCCGCTGTCCTGGGTGGCCCTAAACCCACTTCAGGCCGAGGTCGGACCTGCTCTTCCTACGGTGCACTTTCTGGCTCCCGAGTGAGCTTCTTAGTACGGGCATACGAGCTTTGGAGTTCTCGGCCGGGTCGCGGTTCGCCCAGGAGAACCTTGCTTCTCTCTAGTTAGCATCCGGCGCTGACTGCCCCCACCTCCTCGAAGGTGACTGCCACAAAGGCCCCGGAACCACCGCTGTGCCGAGGGAAAGGACCGTGGGGCCAGCTTCTTCACGCGCAGCCTTGCAGCCAGATGAAGCTCTTCAGGCCTTTGGTAACGCCAGCATCCGAGGTCAAGTCAGTTGCCTTCTGCCTTTCAGCCTTCAACTCCATCCACTTCTCTCACCATCTGACCACCGGTTCCCTTATCCTGTTCATCCCACAACCATCTCCATCCTTCCCTGTCCACGCTGTGCACTGTTAAATATCCCTGCGTCTCCACCACTCTGTCACCTATGGGCCACCTACTTCCGTTTCCCTACCGCAGGGCTTTGCATGGCTGCACATTTCTCCCTCTCCAGCCCTGCAGTCACTATGAAGATTTTCCGTTTCTCTCCACTGTTGCAAGCTCGTTGTCTTGGGTGAACTTGAAATGGGAAATTTGAAACGCTGCAAATACCTGCATTAGGCTATTGCAAGCCTCTTGTGTTTTGAAAATAGAAAATAATTGAATGCAAGATTTGGATTTATTGTCAGCTATACACACACATCCCATATACAAAAGTTGTTCCTTGTTATGTTAGATATAAACTTAGGTAATGTGTTTATACTTGTAATAATGTTGTTCAAAAGTGATCATATAACAGAATTCCGACTTTTAGGCCAATGGACACCCAACGTGCAGGGAAGGTGGGATTTGCTAGGGTGGGGACCATTGAAATCATCTGTGTGTCTCTTTTCTTTGTTTAAGTTTCTAAATTAGACACAATTTTTGTGAAAAGAACCAAGCAAGAGCAACTTCAGATAGATATTTTTGGCAAAGAAGCAGGCCCAGTGCCCCCTCCAAAAAGATTAATACAGAAATTTCGTAATACAGGGCTGGAGAGATGGCTCAGAGGTTAAGAGCATTGCCTGCTCTTCCAAAGGTCCTGAGTTCAATTCCCAGCAACCACATGGTGGCTCACAGCAATCTGTAATGGGGTCTGGTGCCCTCTTCTGGCCCTGCGGGCATACATACAGAAAGAATATTGTATATATAATAAATAAATAAATATTTTTTTTTAAAAAAAAGAAATTTCGTAATACAAAATAGGAATAATTTAGATCCAGTGAAGCTTTCTTTTAGCCTGGAAAATATGATTTAACTCATACTCTCATCTCATAGTATGCATTGCTCATTGGCTCTTACTATTGCTTTTTCAGTATTCAGATTTAAATAAATGTAAACCTATATCTGAGAACCCATACATTTACATTTTAAACAGGTACTTTGGGGTTACAATACTGATCTCTCAGACCAATTGAAGCAGTATTTCGGATGTCTTATGCTGAGGGTGAGGTCCGATTTACAAATGCTGAGAAATTCCATCCTCTGTACTAAATTAGAAAGGAAAAAAGTTCTTCAGCTTTTCGAATTTTTCACGTCAAATAAAACTACGCAGAATTCCTTGGGAAAGCACACAGAGGCAATTGGGTTCTATGTTACAAGGTGCTTCCGCCTCCAGTATGTATTGAACAAGCATTATGACAAGGTTAAAGTACAGTTTTGCTTTGTTTTTCCTGTTCCCCTCGAATGGCTCTAAACCAGGGGGTGGGGTGAGGAGATCTTAAGAGGTATCGCCAGGCATGGAATCACAGCTGGGTGTGTGCTCTTGGCCCCTAGTCAGTAGCGGCCAGGGCTGCTGGGGTTCATCCTGCTGCTCAGCATCTCCTATAATAAAGATTGATCCTTTGTGAATGGCGCCAGGACCAAGAACCTGTCCTAACGTAACCAACAGTGACTATTTGTTCTCTGTCTCAGTCCTAGTTCACATGTGCAGTTTACATATTGATGGCGTGCATTTTTCTTCAGCTTTCTCTTGCTTTATGTGTTAAGCATTTCTCACATTGCTACCTTGTTTTCAACTTTTTTTTAAAAAGTATATTTTAGTTAGGAATTGAAACAACTTGTGAATCATATTCTTGGGTTTAAGATTATGTATCTTCTATTATATTTCTATGGAAGGAAGGAAGGACAGCTAGGGTGAAAAGTCACGTGATTGGCTGTTCCAGTTTGGTGACTGAGTTATTTGTTCCTTATCAGTCACATAAAGACCGCATGATCCAAAACCAGTCCTTTACTCAGAGGCAGGAACTGAGGCTCTGGTCCCTCTGTTGTAGTTAGGGCACCTGCTAGGAGAGAATAAAGGAACAGGCAGATATGACTGCACCTACGCTGTCTGCCCACTTTCCATTTAAGATTGGTACCTTTTTTTTTTTTTTTCTTGAGACAGGGTTTCTTTGTGGCTTTGGAGCCATTTAAGATTGGTTGTTACTGTTTACTGACACTTCCTTCAGCTTACCACCTCACCCTTTATATATTGGGAGTTGTCAGAGGACTCAAAACACCTCGGGATACACGAGAAGACTGTACTCTTATCCTTTGTTTCATGGGGGCAGTTTTTGGTACAGTTTAAATATCAGAGAATTTATAATACAAAGGACATGTTTTTATTACTTCAAGATCTGCTGTATTAGAATCTTTAAGATTTCTCAACCACCAAATCTAAGTTCACTTGTGGGGGGAAATATTGTTCTGGGTTGTCCTAACACCATCCCAGGCAGAGGGGCCTGGATGTGCAGAGTCAAGGAGCTCACTGTGAGCAGCATGGTAGAACAGTGGTCAGATGGTAGGAAAGCCTAATGCAGAAGAGGGTCAGGAGGTGAAGTGACTGAAGAGGCAGGAACCAGACTGTAGAGACTCTCGGGTGCCAAGCGAAGAGGTCTGAACTCTTCTGGAAGCCATGCAGACATTAAGCAGTGAGTGACCTGCATTCGGAATGAGCCTTCTGGCGGCTTTACCAAGCCACACACTGGACGAACGCCAGCATGACAGCGGCAACTCGAGTTGCTAATGTTGCTGTGCTCTTCTGAGCATGTCCTGAGTGCCTACACCAAGCTGCATGGGGAAGCTGAATCAGAAAATGAGAAAAGGCCTAGCGGCTACAGATTGAGCAATGAACGAAGAGAACCTGAGGATGCCACCCAGTCTGCGTCACTAAACTGTTAGTAATTATAACTATGGAATACAGGCGAGGAGGGAAATGGATTATTCAAGCTGGGTTGCTCAATTGACAGCTGGTCACATGCTGTTCTGAGTCCACCCATTTTATATTGCCCTTCCGCCCTGTGTCCAGTTTTCCAGAGCTTGCCTCCTGCACCCGCCCTCTCTTGAAGGTCAGCCCTGAGGGACCATATCTGTTCTCCTGCTTCCAGCCCAGTTCCACCTACAACTCACTGAATGAGAGCAACACACTTGGAGGAGAACCCAGTTCATTGAGTGACCAACCAAGGGTCTCCAAAGTGTGAGCCGAGAGAAACGAAGCCTTGGCCGATTCTGAAATGATATGTAGTAGGTCTAGGGCTTGAAGAGCTTTCAGCCTTGCTGATGCGCAGCAGCAAAGAATGTCCTGCTGAGAAGAGGAGGACTCACAGAGAAACCCAGACAAGTGTGCATCAGGAAGCCAGGCCCGGTGAACACCTTTAATCTCAACACTGGAGACAGAGGCAGGCAGAGCTCTGTAAATTCAAGGCCAGCCTGGGCTACAACACAGGGAGTTCCATGCTTGTCAAGGCCACTTGGTGAGACCCTGTCAAAAAAAAAAAAAATCTAAGAGTCTCATGAGCCAGGCAGTCCCTGAGCACTTAGAAGGTAGAAGCAGAATGATTAAAACTCAGGGTCAGCTGAACTTGGGTTCCTGATCCTTCTGTTTCTACCGACTAAGGAATTACAGGTGTGTGCTGGCCACACCCGCCGTCTTTATAGCTTCTCCTTTCATTAGCGGTCTGGAGGTGGTAAGGGGTAAGGAACCAACTGTGAGTGGCAGGAAGCTCAGGACAGCCATTGCTTGCATGGGTGGGGAGGATAGCTCTGCAATAGAGTGCTTGCCTCCCATATACAGATGTGAACGAGAAGATGGGCTGTCAGATGGTTTAGCAGGTGTGATCTGCAGAACCCGCAACAAATCTGGGTGCCATGGCTTGCTTCTGTAATCCCAGCACTACTGTGGTGAGATGGGAAGTAGAGACAGGAGAATGGCTCTGAAGCCCCTAGGCCAGCTAGCCCAGAGACTGCAGAACAGCGAAAACAAGAGAGAGCCTGTCTCAGCACAGTGGAAAGAGAGAGCTGACTTCCTGAAGTTATCCTCTGATCACGTGGGTGTGGAATGCATGTGTCTGCACTCACACATATACACATGCAAATATATTTAAAAAGAAAAGAAAAAAGAAAATTGCCCATACTTTGTAGGCTCGTCTTGGAACCGTTAAGAGGTCCAAGTTTCTTCTTTTGGGTTATTTTTGTCAGCCATAGCATATGGTTTCCATTTGATGGCATCAGAATGGCTACTTAGGTTTCGGTTATCATATTTGAATTTCAGCCAGTAGAAATAGAAGGAGCAAGGAAGAGAAATCCTGGAAGCAGTGCAGAATGCCATTTGTCTTCTCATCTTAGGATTTCTATTGCTGTGAAGAGACACTATGACTATGGCAGCTCTTTTTTTTGGGGGGGGGGGGTTTCGAGACAGTTTTTCTGTAGTTTTGGAGCCTATCCTGGAACTAGCTCTTGTAGACCAGGTTGGCCTTGAACTCACAGAGATCCGCCTGCCTCTATCTCCCAAGTGCTGGGATCAAAGGTGTGCGCCTAACTCTTATAAAGGAAAACATTTATCTGGGACTGACTTATAGTTTAGAGGTTTAGTTCATTTTCATCATGGTGTGAAGCATGGTGGCATGCAGGCAGACATGGTGCTGGAGAGGTAGCTGAGAGTTCGACATCTAGATCAGTAGGCAGCAAGAAGAGAGAATGACATTGGGCTTGGCTTGAGCATCTGGGACCTCAAAGCCCACCCCTAGTGACACATTTCTTCCAACAAGGCCACACCTATTCCAACAAGGGTAGAATTTCAATAATGCCATTCAGTAAGAGTCTATAGGGGCCAATTTCATTCAAACCACTACATTTCTATTGGTCAGAACTTGGTCACATGAGTAAGACTAGCAATAAGAAAGGCAGCTTTTTGATTGTTAAAGGCAGCTTTTTGATTGATTCCTCTTATGTCTGAGGAAGAAAGAAAAGTACAAATTAAAATTTAA